TTTAGAAGGCTGTAAACCATGGTATACAGTAATTTAATTAGGACAATTTATTGCAAATAAAAATCTCACCACTTACTGTTTAACAGGTAAAACAATGAATAATAAAGAAAATTCTTAAAGCATATAATTAAGCACTATTGTAAAAATTTAAAAGTTTAATTGAATATAGTTTGAAGAACTGGAGAAGCAAGCTGGAGAATACTTGTGCAAAAGAAGACAAAAAATTACTCTGAAAAGAATGTAGTATCAGGAATGTTACTAGCTGAGTTTCACAAGTATCAGGAATGTTACTAGTTGAGTTTCACAAGTATCAGGAATGTTACTAGTTGAGTTTCACAAGTATCAGGAATGTTACTAGTTGAGTTTCACAAGTATCAGGAATGTTACTAGTTGAGTTTCACAAGTATCAGGAATGTTACTAGTTGAGTTTCACAAGTATCAGGAATGTTACTAGTTGAGTTTCACAAGTATCATGAATGTAACTAGTGAAATTCCACAAACATCAGGAATGTAACTTGTGGAATTCCACAAACATCAGAAATGTAACTAGTGGAATTCCACTAGGATCAGTTAAGGCCTATAAGAAAGGGAAAAATGTAGAGCATGTATGTGTGTGTGAGAGCCAGGTATGAACCATACATTTGATTTGAACTGACTCTAGTTAATATTCATTAGCTCATCTAAAGTATGCAGCATTCCATTATTTTACTGGAAATAACAGACAGGAGACAGTGTCTACATAAAGAAAATATTTAGTGAATGAAGGCTATTTTCTTTCAATATTGCATGAAATTAAGAATTTTGTAAATTCTCTTACCATTGCTTGCAGTGCACCATTTACTTGCTGTGCAATATGTATTTATCATGCGCAATGTATTTACCATGCATCATGTACAGTACTCTGGTGACCATGCTTAAAATACCATTTACCCAGAAAAACCTAAACAAGTGTCATTTTGACAAGTATTTAGTGAATACTGTTATTATTATTATAGCATTAAAATCAATATACTTAACACTATGCTTCAATATACTGTGCTGAGCCTTGTAACTAAAAGTAATCATTACATCCAGCTTCAAACTTCTTATATGTCATCGAATGTTGTGAAAAAAAAAGTACCAGAGAACAATTTATTTGGCTGCAATTTAACTCTATTCACATTTCTTATTGTCATTTATCATGCTACACTTATATTCTTTCATATATATTCGTTATATTTATTAGAATTACTTTTAATACAAGTCTGTATAGTATATTTTTGTATACGTATATGTACAATGTGTATGTTTTATCATGATATTTGATCTTTGTCTTAAATTTTTACCTTATGCAAAATGCTCTGTATAACCAGAGGTTTTGTACCTATATTATTCAGTGTCATCCATTTTTTTTTTTTTTTGTAAATATTATGTGGAAATAAAAGTATTTATTTTATCTGGTGAGGGTGGGCCCCAATACTACAAGTCTTCACCAGTTAATTTCACTTTCACCAAACAGGCATTGTAAGGTGCCCCCGCAACCACTGCAACACAATTTGATGAATGGATAGAGAGAAGGGAGGTGTGATAAACAAGTGATTAAAAGTTTAAGGAAGTTAGATTTTCCAGATATAGCCTCTGATTTAATTATGTTTAAATTTCTGTAACATCCCCTGGCAGATATCCACAGTGTCATAACTGGAACCACTCAGTTAAGATGTCTGACAGTTTGGTGTCAACCTTGATAAATGATACCGTCAAGTGCCTTAGAATGACACTTGAGAAGATATTTCAGTTCCGGGACCTTGTTAGAAGCTATCAAAGTCACAAGATGAAAGTGATGAGACTAACTAGAAGTATGGGGAATGAAAGAGTAGAGATCTGAATTGCAAAGAGTGTGTAGGAAGTGAATGTATGTTAGATACTAGTTGATTTGTGATTTCCTAAGCAGTGAAACAATTTGGTTATACTGTACCTTGAATATAATCAATTACTGACATCATTTAAAAATACTATCTTAACAGTTTACTACTAGCATTACCAACTTGCTTACACTGGACTAATTTATTTAATTATAGGAAACATCATCACAAGGCCATTATCAAAAGGCAATCAAAACAACACAAAGTCATTAATTGCATTCCAAATGACTTGTTTCAAGACATAAGTCAAAAGTCGTAAAAAAAATTGTCAAAAGGGAAAATATCCCTACCATTTATGCTAAAAAAAATGATACCAAGTTCCCAGGCAGGCAAGAACTCAATGGGGAGATTAGCCCACCTTCCACTGTAAGATCCCACAGGGATCTTCCAGTGCCATGGAAGGTATTCAGGCTTGATTCAAGGAATTCAAGCACAGGTCCAATTCCTCAGCTAAAGGGCCCCTTACCAGTATCAAGGAACCTACCCAGAGAGGAAACCCTCACCCAGAAAAGGAAACCCTCTGCCCTAATCACAAACTCAACCACTGAATTAAGGTGACTCAACACTGAGTTACAACCATGGTACCAATATGTTAGGAAAAGGAACACAAGTGAAACTAATGTGACATTTTATTGTGGTAACGTTTCACTCTCCAGGAACTTTGTCAAGCCATTGCAGCTTGGCAAAGTGAAATGTTGCCACAATAAAATGTCACATTAGTTGCACTTATGTCCTTCTACCTAACATATTGTTGGTAATTCTACCAACATTATTACATGGTACAAATAGTTCATTACAGGGGGTTGACTGTACCAACATTCATACGTTTACTATATATATATAGTGGTCCCTCAATAATCATCCGGCCTGAAAGTCGTCCATTTCGGAAATAGTCCCGTTATTTCGTCTAAACATTGGCTCGCAAATGGTCCGTTAACTCGCTAATCGTCCTTCATCAGGGACGCGTACTCACGCTCTGAGCCGCCCGGGCCTGCCTTCCCAGCCAGTGTGCCATTGTTTACCAGTGAGCGACGGTCCCCTCACTTGCTCCTACGAAATATTTCATAATATTCCATTGATTTTAGTGCTTGCAAGTGCTAAATAAGCTACCATGGCTCCAAAAAAAACTTCTAGTGCCAGCTCTTTGGTAAAGAATGTGAGAAACAAATATAATTTATGAAAAAGTTTGTAGAAAAATACAAAGGTGGTGGTGGTGGTAGAGTGGAAGCAGTTGTGATAGTGGTTGATGGTGGTAGAAGGTAACAGTGATGGTGGTAACAGTTGTAATAGTGGTAGTGATGGTGGTAGAGGGTTCCTTCTTTAGTAATTCAGCAATTCTACCAACTCCTCCAATGTTGTTGGAGTTATATAGGGCTACAGAAAACACCGCTGCCTCAGCTGCTGCTTCACCATCATTATGGACGGCTTACTCTCAGTGGCCCTTATATACCCAACAACAACACAACACAACACCTCTAGTGACATACGTAATGACTTATTTTATTCATTCTAGAGTATATTCCATGTTTCTACGTTATTAATATTGTTTATTATGTCATATTAGTTGAATTGTGATAGATAAATAAGCCGTTGAGTTGATATTAGTGTCATATTCTCCAACAATAAACTTGCCATCCGTCCCTCACACAAACAAGTCTCCAATAAGAACATAAAAAAGGAGGAACACTGCAGTAGGCCTGCTGGCCCATACTAGGCCAGTCCTTCACAAATCCAACCCACTAACAGAACAAATGCTACCCAAGCAATAAGCTCAGGTGCAAATCTAACTCAAATCCAACCCCTCTCACTCATGTATTTATCCAACCTAAATTTGAAACTACCCAATGTTTTAGCTTCGATCACCCTACTAGGCAGACCGTTCCATTCATCAACTACCCCTATTACCAATGTTCATTTATACATTTTATTAGTGCTTTGCATTTTTTCTGCATGTAAATCTATATTTATACTAAGGAAGTGACCCCTGAAGTGACCTAGAGTCCTTATGGAGGGAGATTCCTCTCTTCCCTCTCTCCTCCTCTCTGTCTTCCATTCATCAACAACAGCCTTCAATAAAGGTAACTGTCATGTTGAATGTTCATTCTTTTGTGCATGTAAATCTATATTTTAGGTAAAAAAAAAAAATTGATGTTGATACTTCTGGGTGTCTGGAACGAATTAATTGGATTTACATTATTTCTTATGGGGAAAATTGATTCGAAAATCGTCTATTTCGATAATAGTCCCACTTCCAGGAACGGATTAAGGACGATAATTGAGAGACCACTGTATATATATATATATATATATATATATATATATATATAGAGTGGACCCCCGGCTTACGATCAGCTCCCAATGCGACCAATTATGTAAGTGTATTTATGTAAGTGCGTTTGTACGTGCATGTTTGGGGGTCTGAAATGGACTAATCTAATTCACAATATTCCTTATGGGAACAAATTCGTTCAGTAATGGCACCTGAACATACTTCTGGAATGAAATAATATCGTAAACCGGGGGTCCACTGTATATATATATATATTTTTTTTTTCAACAAGTCGGCCGTCTCCCACCGTCTCCATATATAGTATATACTATATATATATATTTTTTTTTCAACAAGTCGGTCGTCTCCCACCGAGGCAGGGTGACCCAAAGAGAAAGAAAATCCCCAAAAAGAAAATACTTTCATCATTCAACACTTTCACCTCACTCACACATAATCACTGTTTTTGCAGAGGTGCCCAGAATACAACAGTTTAGAAGTATATACATATAAAAATACACAATATATCTCTCCAAACTGCCAATATCCCAAACCCCTCCTTTAGAGTGCAGGCATTGTACTTCCCATTTCCAGGACTCAAAGTCCGGTTATATAAAATAACCGGTTTCCCTGAATCCCTTCACTAAATATTACCCTGCTCACACTCCAACAGATCGTCAGATCCCAAGTACCATTTGTCTCCATTCACTCCTGCCTAACACGCTCACGCACGCCTGCTGGAAGTCCACCTATGCATATTTGTTATATATTTATGATGCTTTAACAGTAATAAAATATTTTCACATTAAAACAAAACAAAGGTTACATACCTTAGTCTGAGTTCCTCAATATTCTGGGCAAGAACTATACTCTTTGATTCTATATCCTTCTTTTCTTCCTCTACCGATCTGAGTTTCTTTATTTCATTCCTCAGTTTTGTATTCTCTTCCTCTGTTGCCTTCTTCTCCTCTTGTAGTGTTGTCACTGTTTTCTTAATTGTATTACACTCACTCTCAAGTTCTTTCAATTTCTTGGCTGTTTCAGTTTCAAGTTTCTCTATGTCAATCAAAACCTTATTCTTTTCCTCAACACAAGTTTTGATACTCGAGTTCAGTCTAATATTGTCCTCTTCTAGTTGCTTTTTGAGTAATAATTGCTCCTCTTTAGCTTTCATATCAGAGAGAAGCTTCATTTTTTCCTCTTTCACTTTTTCTAATTCTGATGTTAATGTGGCATTATTTTCTTGAATTTGCATCATTTTGGTGAGTTCTGCCTCCAGCCTCTCCACATCCCCACCCAGCCTTGACCTCTCCTCCTCAGACTTCTTCAGACTCCTAATCTCTTCCTCCATCTTACTCTGCTCTTGGAGTAGCTTTTCTTTCTCCTCTCTAAAGTCATCAATCTTCTCTCTGTAATCTTTCTCAATTTTACTTTTTTCTTCCAATAACGATAATTTCTCGGTTTCAATTATTTGTATTTGTTTCACTTCTTCTTCTAATTTGCATTTTTCATGGACTAGATTTAATTTTTCGTCTTCAATGCCCTGAAACAAGAATGTCAATTAATATACAGTAGGACCCCCATATCTGCGGGGATACATTCCAAGGACTTGCTGTGGATAGTAGCAAACCCTCTATATATATATATATATACAAGTCTTATACATCTTCTTTCAACAAACCGGCCGTATCCCACCGAGGCAGGGTGGCCCAAAAAGAAAAACGAAAGTTTCTCTTTTTAAATTTAGTAATTTATACAGGAGAAGAGGTTACTAGCCCCTTGCTCCCAGTCCTATACATACCAATTATAAAGTTTAATTGATAAATTATGCACACTAAGTGGAGACTTATCACTTTTTCACTGATGGGAAGCACTTCACAGCTTCTCTTAGGCTTTGAAGAACTGCGAGCTTCTGTACTTTTGCACTCTGGGGCCATTATTTTGCAAAATTAAGAGGCATTTTTGGGCCACAGTAAACCGTGGATAACTGAAACTGTGGATACTGAATCAGTGTATACTCTTTCAAAATTTTGTACAACTTTCATAATAAAATAATTAGAAAGCAAAACCAAATCATGACATTCTACATGAATATAAGTATAATTAATTGTCTAAAATTCTTTCATTTAAAATTGTGGAAAAATGCCTAGTGTATATGATTTATACAGAGTTTTACATGCAATATCTTAACTTAAGAACAAGAAAAACAATGAAGAGTTGTTGGAAAAGCTTATCATTTTCAAGAAGGCAAAAAAAAAACACTTCAAAACCTTTATCTCCTCCCTCCCTCCCCCCTTTCCTGGGATGACCTCTATCACGTTTTTCCTCCACACAGATTTATACACCCTTCTAGTCATTCTATTTTAGTCCATCCTTTAAATATTCAAACCACCACAACAACCTCTCCTCAGCCCTCTGAATACGTAATACTTTTGGTAACCCCACACCTACTAATCTCCACGCTCAGAATTCTCTGCAAAATCTTCACACTGCTCATTGCTCCACTGCCTCCAGCCTCTGTCTTGCTGAAGGGTTTAAAATCCATGCTTCATACCCATATAACAATGTTGGTACCACTATACCAACTTTATTTTATGGATAAAGTTCTTGGTCTCCACCAATGTCTCAATGGACCCACTTTTTTGTTTCCTCATCAATCCTATGGTTCATCTCATCTTTCATAACTTCATCCACCAGTAAGTTCACCCCTAAATATCTGAGCACATTTAATTCCTCCATACTACCTACTGCGATCTGATATCCAAATTTTCCTTGCCCAGATTTTTTTGTTACACTTGTCAACTTTCTCTTTTCTATGTTCAATTTTAATTTCCTCCTTTTACATACCCACCTAAATTCTTCTACCAGCCATTGTAACTTCTTAGAATCTCCCCAAAAAATTGTCAATAACAAAAAACTGCGACACTTTCCAATTCATATATTCATTATCTCTCAATCCCCCCAACACTCTATTATTCAGTTCTTTTACAACCGCTAGTGATATCACACTTCCCTATCTAGGCCTACTGTTATAGGAAAATAATCCCTCTCTCTCTCCTACATACCCTAACCTGAGCCTATCCATAAAAACTTTCCTGCTCTTGGTAACCTACCACCTATTCGATACATTTGCAACATCTGCCACATTACTCTTCTATCCACCCTATCATATGCCTTTTCTAAATCTACAAATGCAACAACAGCTCCTTACTTTTATCTAAACATTGTTCACTTATATGCTTCAATGTAAACATCTGATCTACAGACACATCTGCTCTTCTTGCTAAAACCTTGTTCCTCTACAATCCTATTTTCTGTCTTGCCCTTAATTCTTTCTCTAACAACTATTTTTTTTTATTTATTATCACACTGGCCGATTCCCATCAAGGCAGGGTGGCCTGAAAAAGAAAAACTTTCACCATCATTCACTCCATCACTGTCTTGCCAGAAGGGTGCTTTACACTACAGTTTTTAAACTGCAACATTAACACCCCTCCTTCAGAGTGCAGGCACTGTACTTCCCATCTCCAGGACTCAAGTCCGGCCTGCCGGTTTCCCTGAACCCCTTCATAAATGTTACTTTGCTCACACTCCAACAGCACGTCAAGTATTAAAAACCATTTGTCTCCATTCACTCCTATCAAACACGCTCACGCATGCCTGCTGGAAGTCCAAGCCCCTCGCACACAAAACCTCCTTTACCCCCTCCCTCCAACCTTTCCTAGGCCGACCCCTACCTCGCCTTCCTTCCACTACAGACTGATACACTCTTGAAGTCACTCTGTTTAGCTCCATTCTCTCTACATGTCCAAACCACCTCAACAACCCTTCCTCAGCCCTCTGGACAACAGTTTTGGTAATCCCGCACCTCCTCCTAACTTCCAAACTACGAATTCTCTGCATTATATTCACACCACACATTGCCCTCAGACATGACATCTCCACTGCCTCCAGCCTTCTCCTCGCTGCAACATTCATCACCCATGCTTCACACCCATATAAGAGCGTTGGTAAAACTATACTCTCATACATTCCCCTCTTTGCCTCCAAGGACAAAGTTCTGTGTCTCCACAGACTCCTAAGTGCACCACTCACCCTTTTCCCCTCATCAATTCTATGATTCACCTCATCTTTCATAGACCCATCTGCTGACACATCCACTCCCAAATATCTGAATACATTCACCTCCTCCATACTCTCTCCCTCCAATCTGATATCCAATCTTTCATCACCTAATCTTTTTGTTATCCTCATAACCTTACTCTTTCCTGTATTCACTTTTAATTTTCTTCTTTTGCACACCCTACCAAATTCATCCACCAATCTCTGCAGCTTCTATTCAGAATCTCCCAAGAGCACAGTGTCCTCAGCAAAGAGCAACTGTGACAACTCCCACTTTATGTGTGATTCTTTATCTTTTAACTCCACACCTCTTGCCAAGACCCTCGCATTTACTTCTCTTACAACCCCATCTATAAATATATTAAACAACCACGGTGACATCACACATCCTTGTCTAAGGCCTACTTTTACTGGGAAATAATTTCCCTCTTTCCTACATACTCTAACTTGAGCCTCACTATCCTCGCAAAAACTCTTCACTGCTTTCAGTAACCTACCTCCTACACCATACACCTGCAACATCTGCCACATTGCCTCCCTATCCACCCTGTCATATGCCTTTTCCAAATCCATAAATGCCACAAAGACCTCTTTAGCCTTATCTAAATACTGTTCACTTATATGTTTCACTGTAAACACCTAGTCCACACACCCCCTACCTTTCCTAAAGCCTCCTTGTTCATCTGCTATCCTATTCTCCGTCTTACTCTTAATTCTTTCAATAATAACTCTACCATACACTTTACCAGGTATACTCAACAGACTTTTTTTTATTATTTTTTATTATCACACTGGCCGATTCCCACCAAGGCAGGGTGGCCCGAAAAAGAAAAACTTTCACCATCATTCACTCCATCACTGTCTCGCCAGAAGGGTGCTTTACACTACAGTTTTTAAACTGCAATATTAACACCCCTCCTTCAGAGTGCAGGCACTGTACTTCCCCCTATAATTTTTGCACTCTCTTTTGTCCCCATTGCCTTTATACAAAGGAACTATGCATGCTCTCTGCCAATCCCTGGGTACCTTACCCTCTTCCATACATTTATTAAATAATTGCACCAACCACTCCAAAACTATATCCCCACCTGCTTTTAACATTTCTATCTTTATCCCATCAATCCCGGCTGCCTTACCCCCTTTCATTTTACCTACTGCCTCACGAACTTCCCCCACACTCACAACTGGCTCTTCCTCACTCCTACAAGATGTTATTCCTCCTTGCCCTATACACGAAATCACAGCTTCCCTATCTTCATAAAAATTAAATGCAAACCTTTAATATAAAAATTTTACCTTTAACCTTGAAATTTCTTCTTCTAATTTAGTTTTCTCTATCTGCAGGATATTCTTCTCTTCTTCCGACACTGACAAGCTCTCCTGCAGACAGTCCAAGCGCACCAGCTCACCCTCACTGAACGACAAAATAAAATTTTAATCAATGAAATAATTTGATTCAGTACACAGATAACCCACACATAGGAGAGAGATGCTAAAGACAATGTTTCAGTCCAACTTTGACCATCTACAAAGTCAAACTAGTGTGTGACTTTGTAAACGATCTCACCAGTGTGACTGTAAATGGTCCTAGTCGGACTGAAACATTGTCATGAGCTTCTCTCTCCTATATGTGGGTTATGTGTGTTTTGTTCCAGTCATGGCATTGCACCTTTTTGTACTTAATTTGATTCAGTATTCTTTGTTGTAAGGTATTTATATACAAGTAAGAGATACAAAAATATAGAACTGCATTTTAAATTTGAATAACAAACTCTTATTCAGTATAACATTTACAGCAATAAGATCTTACTGCTGTAAATGTTATACTGTACTTAGAAATACTGTAATTAGATTTTAATTTGAAAATAATGGAATAATCATTTTACAGATTATATAACCTACTTGTCTCATTTTATAGCAATAAGCAAAAATTATATTCACATTCTTCATAATGTAGGAATTCATTCTAATTAAGCAAGAGTGACAATACATGAGCCAGTAAACCAAGGTACATACTTAAGTTACTGGGTTATGTACAAGCACTATTATGTTGGCTTGCCTTGCTTAAGAAATGTCCCATGGAAAACCCTTGCTTTTACCTCACCTGTGCTATTTTTTTTTAACTTGACGGCCCAAAGGAGAAAACATATTCACCATCATTCATTTAACCGCACTCTTTCCAGTCAAATTACCCTCTGACTGTAACATCCCCACCACTCTTGCAGAGTGCAGCCACTGCCCTTCCTACCTCCAGGACTCAAGTCTGGCTATCATATGTATATATGTTATTTATTTACATGTGGATAATAGAGAACAGCTGAGTTTTAGCTTCAAACTGGGCTATTGGGGCATTGACCCCCAAAACCCTCTCCAGGTATACATCACAAGTTCAGTGAACAGTACAGATAACAGCAGTTGGCATCTATGATGCTGCTAGTATAGATGATATTTTCAATATTTGTTTCAGCTTGCTCCTTACATCATGTGACTGTCCTCAGGAGACCTTCAGTTACTCCCCTTACATCATGTGACTGTCATCAAGGGACCTTCAATTACTCCCCTTATAACATGTGACTGTCTTCCAGGGACCTTCAATTACCTCCCTTACATCATGTGACTGTCTTCAGGAGACCTGCCCCCTTCATGCTTAATTCCCAGACCAAATATTCAAATTCGTAATAGCCATAAGCTGTACTAAAACACAAACATAAAGCACACTACTAAAAAAAATGGTTTAAGCAAAGTCCAAATGAATCAAAACAAATACAACAAAAAAATACAGTAAAAGAACAGTAATAAATAATAAGCAAGAGAGAGAACATACAAAGTCTTGTGCATTTCAGCCATGGCCTCCTTGTCAGCCTGTGCTTGCACCAGCTGTTTCTGCAGCTCCTCACGGTGAGTATTGAACGTGCTCATCAAATGTTCCACTTCGGCTTTCATGGCTGCCACCTATAGTCATGGAGGGCAAATGAAGGCCAGATAGAGTCGTAATAGAAATATAGTGTGATGAGAATAGTACTGACAGGTAGAATATTGAAAAATAAGAAGTTAAAAAATGGAACCTGGATAATATATGAAGCTATTGAAAGTGTTCTTAAGAAAAAGCCCTGTATACTTTAAATATGAGCTATTGAAAGTGTTCTTAACAAATGCCCTGTATGCTTTAAAGTGTGTTGTGTCAAGCACCAAACCCATGTGAGTGAGTCAATGCAACGAGTGGTATGGAGGCTCAATCCTCTGTGGCCAGATCTCTGACCGGCCAGACTATCACAGGCTCCTGCCCGGCACAATCAGAAAGAATACACTTAAGAGAAAAAGGACCGACAGAAAAAGTGTATTCTCAGGTTTGGAACATAAAAGAACAATAAAATTCAGATCAGAAGATGCAGTACAAGGAAATTATCACAAAAAGCAACAAAAGCTGTAAACAACTTTAAGATACAAAACAAAAAAAGATCAAGTAAAATATAAATGACATAAATGTGTAAAGATAACCCATAATGAACAATTAGTATTTATATGAATGGTACATTAATATAATAACTGATAAATATAATCTCATGAGAACCTTGGCAAGGGGGATAAAGGATAAAAATTTGCAAAAGAAATATTATAGTAATATAAGCAAACTATAATTCATACAGAACCAAAGATGGTAATTCCTACCTCAAATGTTACCTTTACCTTAAATGCAATTCCTGCCTCAAGCATATTTCCTACCTCATCTATTACCTACCTCAAATGAAATTCCTAACCTAATGCATTTCTTAACCTCTTGCAATTTCTACCTTGTGTAATTCCTGCCTTAGCTATACTTAGAATTACATTACACATTTTTAATATAAGCAATATTAACATAATGCATATATATCTTGCAAGACTTAAACAAAATGGTTGATGGTATCAAGCACTGAAGGTTTAACTTACTAAAAATGACATATTTGTTGGTGAATATGGCTTAACACATGTTAATTATCCAGCAACCCTATGGCTTCACTTTACAGTGCTTCACTTCACAGCGTTTTGTTAATGCAGTCAATTACCCTCATTTTTCATTTATTCAGATTTCCTACAATAAATATGTTCACCATTTACTATAAGGATGAAAATCTTTTAAGTAATGTGTGTACTGTATGTGCATTTTTAAGGCCTAACTCTATCGTTCACATGTTATCTTTTTTTATGCATTTGAAAGTAAACAAAAAAAAAAGGTTTATGTTTCACTTCACAGCAGTAGCCCGAAACCTAACCTGCTGTATAAGAGGGTCCCGCCTGTATCTACATCATAATTCCATCTTGACTGAAGGATTCATGAATAAAACATCAAAATATGGACAATCCATAACTGACCCACAAAATGGAAAAAACTAGACAAATCTTAGGTCTGGTCTGGATTTGTGACTGTAATAAGTCTAAATGGGATGAAAACATCATCTACTTTCCATTTCACATAACTGGTCCAGTTTTCCTACCTAATATTATGTGCTTTCCCACATCTACTGTACTCCCACTCATCTACTGTACTCTCACTCCATCTACTGTACTCCCACTCCATCTATTGTACTCCCATTCCATCTATTGTACTCCCACTCCATCTGTGATACTCTCATTCCAGCTGAATTCAATTTCATATGATTATTATTTTTATTATCACACTGGCCGATTCCCACCAAGGCAGGGTGGCCCGAAAAAGAAAAACTTTCACCATCATTCACTCCATCACTGTCTTGCCAGAAGGGTGCTTTACACTACAGTTTTTAAACTGCAACATTAACACCCCTCCTTCAGAGTGCAGGCACTGTACTTCCCATCTCCAGGACTCAAGTCCGGCCTGCCGGTTTCCCTGAACCCCTTCATAAATGTTACTTTGCTCACACTCCAACAGCACGTCAAGTATTAAAAACCATTTGTCTCCATTCACTCCTATCAAACACGCTCACGCACGCCTGCTGGAAGTCCAAGCCCCTCGCACACACATGAATTCTGTCTAAATATAAAACAAAATCTTGGTCTTTATTGTGCTAAAATAAATATAAATTATTAAACATGTCTTATAGAGAACAACAATTCTTTAGGTCTTCAGTTCTTACTCTATCCACTATATCTTTTTTCAGTTACATTTTTATACACATCAGCAGTTTTTCCAACAAGGCAGGCTGACCAAAACAAGTATTTTAATTTTATATTCTGAAAAAAAAAAAAAAGCTACTGTACATAATACAAAACACAAAGTTTATATTATAAATACATTCATTTGTACAGAAATTATTATCCCAAAGCCTTAAAGTTTTGCCTTACCATAGGATCTACGCTCAAACACTCTAGTAAGACTTCCTGCAACTTTTGAAAATATTCTGTAATATCTTCTGTTCGGTTAAATTCTTTGACTCAAATGATTCTGTTTACAATTATGTAACAAAAAAAAAAATCACTGGACCAAATTTTCAATATACTGTGCGACAGATGAGAACCACTATACTGACAAGTGAAAAATTTGCTTAGAAACTAACTTTTTTCTTTTTTTTCAACACGCCGTCCATCTCCCACCAAAGCAGGGTAACCCAAAAAAGAAACACTTTTGCCATCATTCAACACTTCCCCATCATTCACACATAATCACTATCTTTGCAGAGGTGTTCGATATGACAGTTTAGATGTCAGTCCAAACAGTCAATATCCCAAACCCCTCGTTTAAAGTGCAGGCACTGTACTCCCTGCCTACAGGACTCAAGTCCAGCTAACTGGTTTCCCTGTAATGTAAGGAAGATGAGGAGTTTGACACAATACACACCTAGTTGCTCCTAAACACGATTTTATGAAATGTTATCAGCAGTTGCTGCACTGTTTAAGCTTCCAAGGTAACTTGCATCCCAAACTTAAAATAAAAAAAAAAATCCAGTCATGTGCATATTCTATTTTTTAATCACGCTTTACATTGATTCATTTTAATAATATTCTGGGAGTCATGGGCTATACAGACATAAAATATGAAAAATTTATGTACATACCTTCTGATCCCTCTCTGTCACAGCTAAGAGGTTCTCCTCCCACTCTGTGCGTAGTTTACGATTTTCTTTATCCAGGACAGACAGCTGCTCTTCTAATTCTACCTTACTTTTTAATATCTGAAATAAAATGTGAATATTACTTAATATGTCTACTTGCTACAATGGATCTGTGCCATTTATACTGCTTTTCATGACAACTTCTCTAATTTAAGACCAAACAGAAAAGAAGAAATACTTCTAAACTCTCATGTTAGTATATAATTTCCAAGTATTCTAGTAGTAATTGAATAGCTTTAAACTTCTCCCTAAAACACAAACAATATAAAAATCAGTATCTCTCCCCCTTCCCTCAATCATTAAAAATATCAAACATGAAATAAGCCATACCACAGGCGGGGATAGAACCCACGATCAGAGAGTCTCAAAACTCCAGACAGTCACGTTAGCCACTGGACCAGCTAGCCACAATAAGATTCGTCCAACTAGGTTTGTTTGCAATCATGTCATTACGATTTCGTGAGTCATGAAATAAGCCTAACAAAAGAGTGAAATCATTGACATTTTTGGTGAAAAATGTTGCAATAATAATAATAATAGTGAGGCTCAGGTTAGGGTGTGTAGAAGAGAGGGAGAATACTTCCCAGTAAAAGTAGGTCTTAGAAAGGGATGTGTAATGTCACCATGATTATTTAATATATTTATAGATGGGGTTGTTAAAGAAGTAAATGCTAGGGTGTTGGGGAGAGGGGTGGGAATCAAATACAAAATGGGAATTGACACAGTTGCTTTTTGCTGATGATACTGTGCTTATGGGAGATTCTAAAGAAAAATTGCAAAGGTTAGTGGATGAGTTTGGGAGTGTGTGTAAAGGTAGAAAGTTGAAAGTGAACATAGAAAAGAGTAAGGTGATGAGGGTATCAAATGATTTAGATAAAGAAAAACTGGATATCAAATTGGGGAGGAGGAGTATGGAAGAAGTGAATGTTTTCAGATACTTGGGAGTTGACGTGTCAGCGGATGGATTTATGAAGGATAAGGTTAATCATAGAATTGATGAGGAAAAAAAAGGTGAGTGGTGCGTTGAGGTATATGTGGAGACAAAAAACGTTATCTATGGAGGCAAAGAAGGGAATGTATGAAAGTATAGTAGTACCAACACTCTTATATGGGTGTGAAGCTTGGGTTGTGAATGCAGCAGCGAGGAAGTTGGAGGCAGTGGAGATGTCCTGTCTAAGGGCAATGTGTGGTGTAAATATTATGCAGAAAATTCGGAGTGTGGAAATTAGGTGTGGAGTTAATAAAAGTATTAGTCAGAGGGCTGAAGAGGAGTTGTTGAGGTAGTTTGGTCATTTAGAGAGAATGGATCAAAGTAGAATGACATGGAGAGCATTTAAATCTGTAGGGAAAGGAAGGCGGGGTAGGGGTCATCCTCGAAAAGGTTGGAAGGAAGGGGTAAGGGAGGTTTTGTGGGAGAGTGGCTTGGACTTCCAGCAGGCGTGCATGAGCGTGTTTGATAAGAGTGAATGGAGACGAATGGTATTTGGGACCTGACGATCTGTTGGAGTGTGAGCAGGGTAACATTTAGTGAAGGGATTCAGGGAAACCGGCTATATAAGCTGGACTTGAGTCCTTGAAATGGGAAGTACAATGCCTGCACTCTAAAGGAAGGGTTTTGGGATATTAGCAGTTTGGAGGGATATGTTGTGAATCTTTATATGTATATGCTTCTAAACTGTTGTGTTCTGAGCACCTCTGCAAAAACAGTGATTATTTGTGAGTGAGGTGAAAGTGTTGAATGATGATGAAAGTATTTTCTTTTTGGGGATTTTCTTTCTTTTTGGGTCACCCTGCCTCGGTGGGAGATGGCCGACTTGTTAAAAAAAAAAAATAATAATAATAATAACAAGCCATTTACAAAGTATTTAACCTGTAATTAGTGATCTTGGTCAACATAATATTGTGGACTGTACCATGTGTGTAATGATTAATTAGAATTTATTGTGGATAGAATATACTATCAAAGCTTTATACTGGAATACATATATAAACAGTATGCAAAGTCTGTGGATAAATAATAGCCAAAACGCAGTAATGTAATGACCTGGTTCTTTTATTGTATCAGTTAAGTATTTCAGAATCTTATTCAACTTGGCAGCTGATGAGAACACACAATTTTACCATTTTCAATTTGAAGAATGGTTAATTTGGCATACTGACTATACAGCCTCCAATGACACCATGGAAGTTTTACATAATACTACTGACGTTATGAATTGATGTAATAACCCAACTGCCTGGAGTTGTAAATCTCCACGCAATTGGGTTGTAAATCTCCAGGCCAGTGTGTAAGCTGAGTCAGCCTCTAAACTGACTGATGTGGCTCAGCCATTTCTTTTCTGACAGACCCTGGAATTGGTGGAGTTTATTATGAATTAAAGTAGTTAAGAATCCAAAATATTTATCAAGCAAGTTAGTTTTTGTTAATTATATTGTATTATACTATGTTAGTTCAATGTTCTTCTATGGAAGCACTGTATAAAAATGGTCATGAAGTGGAATGAGTTGAGTAATGACACTAGAAATAGGCTCCAGAAAGGGGTTCAAAAACAGATAAGAAATGATTCATGAAATCGTAATAACACAACTGCAAGCAAACCACAGAATGGGTGGGGTTTAAACCCGTGGCATGGGTTCAGACCCCAACCATTCTATGGTTTGTCAGATAAGAAATAGCTAAGTCACCTCAGTCAGTAAAGAGGCTGGCTCAAGAGCTGGAGTTCACCACCACAAATTCATACAGGTAATTTTTACATTACTTACATAAAGCACACTGTCTTTCAAGTATTATTAAATACTATACCTCCTCTTTCTCTTTAAGCAGACGATCTGTCTCCATACGCAGGTCAGTAAGAGCCTGCTTCATACCTCCCTCTAAGTCAGCTGATGCATCAGTCATTGCACTCACTTGACTCTCCAGACATTTTACTTTTTCCTGTAAATCAAAAACCATCATTATTAGTGCACTTTATGATGATTAAAACTTCAAAGGAAATTTCTGTTGAAAAATATTTCAAAAATAAAAGATTAATCATGAACCCCTCTAATAAAGATTTATACACCCTCCAAGTCATCCTATTTTGCTCCATCATTTCTTAAATGTCTAAACCACCTTAACAACCCCTCTTCAGCCCTCCGGATAATACTTTTACTAAATCTGCAAATCATGAATTCTCTGCATATTTACTAATTCTCTTATATGTCTTGACTCCATCCTTACCCATCATTTCCAATGTGTGCCAAATTCTCTCTAATGCAGTCAGTGTGGCTTGAAAAATTTAAGTGAGGCTCCTTCCTTAACCCTTTGACTGTTTTGGTCGTATATATACGTCTTACGAGCCAGTGTTTCAGAAGTATATATATACTCAATAATTCTCCTGCATATATTACTAAATGTAAAAGGAGAAACTTTCATCTTTCCTTTTGGGCCACCCCGCCTTGGTGGGATACGGCCGGTGTGTTGAAAGAAGAAGAAATAATTCTAGCGGCTTCAAATCAAGCAGAAAGCTGGTAGGCCCACATGTGAGAGAATGGGTCTGTGTGGTCAGTGTGCACCATATAAAAAAATCCTGCAGCATGCAGTGCATAATGAGAAAAAAAAAATCTGACTTTTTTTTGGATTAAAACGCCGACTTTGAGGTGTATTTTCATATAGTATTTATTGTTGTATTCTCATTTTTATGGTCTCAAGTGATAAAATGGAAAACATATTACAGAAATAGAGGTGATTTTGATTAGTTTCACGATGAAAACAACCTTGAAATTGAGCTCAAAGTAGCGGAAATGTTAGAATTTTATCAATGTTCAAGAGTAAGCAGATCATAATACACGTCAACTGGGGAGTCTAATATTCTTTCACTAGTGCACTGATATTATTTATACCATTTTTACAATAATGCAGTAGTCTCCATAACAGTAAATCTTCTATTTTTTGTATGAATAAAAAATCAAAATAGAAAGCAATAGTAATATAAGAGGGGCCTAGAGACGTGACTAATGAACAGAGGATATGTTATTTTCGTGCCAAGAATGTCTACCTTGTTTATTCTGGACCCTATTTTGAAATTGGCGTGAAATTGGCCAAATTGACAATTTCTGACCACTTTATTGGGTAGTTGAAATCGGTAAATGGGCGGTTTCTTGTACTCAATTGATAGAAAAAATGGAGTTCTAAAGAAATAGCTATGAGTTTAGTCAAGTGAAACAATGCAATTGGCCAAAAATGGGGTTCAAAGTCGGCGAAATCGCCGATGCGTATATGTCGCAGAGACCGCTAACTTCGCGGGAGCGTAATTCTGTGAGTTTTCGACCAAATTTTGTACTTTTGGTGTCATTACCATCGGGAAAAGATTCTCTATCATTTCATAAGAAAAAATAATTTTTGTTTTTTTCCAAAAAATTTTCGACATAGAATGAGTTTCGGAAAGGGGTTTGCGACAGTCAAAGGGTTAAATGGTGCTTAGAAGTACTTTTGAAATTCAAAATATGTGCACAGACTTAGAGCACAAAAAATCACACAAAGCAAGATTTTTCTTTTTTCTTTTTAGTATAGTGGCCGTCTCATACTGAGGCAGGGTGACCTGAAAAAGAAACTTTCACCATCCTTTACACTCTCCTCTCTTGCCAGAGGCATACAGATACAACAGTTCAGATGTCACTCCAAAACAGCCAATATCCCAAACCCTTCCTTTAGCGTGCAGGCACTGTACTTCCCACCTCCAGGTCTCAAGTCTACATAAATGGTTAACCTGAGTCCCTTCACAACAGCACATCAGGTCCCAAAAACCATTTGCCTCCATTCACTCCTATCTAACACCCTCACTGCTGGATGACCAGGTATAACAAGCAAGGGATAACTGTACATAAGAAAAAACTAACTGGCTGACTAGTGTCCTCTAACTCCTTACCTCCAATTCTGACATTTCTCCTTCCTTTAGCATCACTTGCTCCTGCAGCTCATAAAGCTCTAGGTCCTTCTTTTTCAAGAGCTCATCTTGCTCAGCACTGTGCTGCTTCTTAACAAAAGCAATTTCATCTGCCTTCGTAGCAACTTCCTTTTCTAAACATGAAAATTTGTTTTGAATCTGCTCTAATTCCTTTTCATATTTCTCTTTTTCTTGCTGTAGTTGCTTTATAGCAGCATTATCACCTTCTCTGGCTGCTCTTTCTTGTGATAATGCCACTTCTTTCTCCTGTAGCAGTTCCTGAATACTTTCAAGTTGCTTATCCTTCTCTTTTAGCTGATTCTTTAAGGTGTTTAGTTGTTCTGAAGAATCCGAGGATGAGGAGAGATAGGCGGCCACCTGCTCCTTTAACTGGTCTTTCTGCTTGTCGAGAGCCACAATTTTGGACTCTGCCTCTGTCAGCTGTTGAACAGAGTCACTGATCTCTGCTTCTCTGTCTGCAATTCTGCTTTCCTGTTAACAGAATAAAGGCATCAAAATTATTAAGAACTTCAAGTTACAGAGCACAACACAGATTTTTTTTTTTAACACACTGGCCATCTCTCACCAAAGTAGGATAATTCCAAGAAAAAAAGAAGAAACACTTTCACCATCGTTCACTCTATCACTATCTTGCCAAAGATGAGTCGATACTAGAGTTCAGGTTCCCTCTAAACTTCAAACATCCCACCCATCCTTCAGAATGAAGGCACTGTACTTCCTACCTCCAGGACTTAAGTCCTGAATCCTTCACAAAATATTGTCTTGCTCACAATCCAACAGCTAATCAAGTCCAAAAATAATTTATTTACATACAGTATATTATAAACACACAGATATTACAAACAAAATCAAGTTTGAAGCATTTACAAATAAGACAATGGCATATGCAGATCAAATCAACACAATATCAATGTGGGCAATTGCACACTGGGCACATCAATGAAAATAAAGTTAGCACAGCTAATGCTATAAATATCTCTAGCTTTTTTTTTTTTTTTTCCAACAAGTCGGCCGTCTCTCACCGAGGCAGGGTGACCCAAAAAGAAAGAAAATCCCAAAAAAGAAAATACTTTCATCATCATTCAACACTTTCACCTCACTCACACATAATCACTGTTTTTGCAAAGGTGCTCAGAATACAACAGTTTAGAAGCATATACATATAAGGATACACAACATATCCCTCCAAACTGCTAATATCCCAAAACCCCTCCTTTAGAGTGCAGGCATTGTACTTCCCATTTCCAGGACTCAAGTCCGGCTATATAAAAATAACCGGTTTCCCTGATTCCCTTCACTGAATATTACCCTGCTCACACTCCAACAGATCGTCAGGTCCCAAATACCATACGTCTCCATTCACTCCTATCAAACACGCTCATGCACGCCTGCTGGAAGTCTCTAGTAACTATATTTAAACTGTATTCATATTTACCAGATATTTGGTCTGTTCATCAAACTTCTGCAATTTTTGCTTGTATTCTTCTTCCTGCTCTAAATACTGCTTGTCTCTTGCCTGTTTCTCAGCCTCTCTGGTCTCCTGCTCACTTTTAAGGTTTACTTCCGTCTCCTGCAGTCTCTCCTGCAACATAGATAAATTTTATAGTCAAATCAGTCACGATATATAGTACTCACCATTATGTGATTGCTGGGTAAAGTCCTAGCTTCTGGCATTGTCTCACAGTCTCCTAACCTAATCGGCCCTATCGTACTTGTTCTTAAAGCTGTGTAAGGAACCTGTATTCACCACTTCCTCGTCAAGATCACTCCACTTACTGACCACACTGAACAAATTCTTCCTGGCATCCCTATGGCTCATCTGTGTCTTTAACTTCCAGTTGTGCCTCCAGTACCTGTTTCCTGCATCTCAAACAGCCTATCCCTGTCTACTCTATCAGTACCTCTGAGTATTGTGTACATTGTTATCATGTCTCCACTGGTTCTCATCCTCCAGTGTCATTATTTGGTGAATAATTTATTACCACTGTAACATACATAGCTATCAAAACTTTAAAGCCCAGTCCTTAAACCCATGATGTGCCTCTGTAATATTTTGACTACCACACACAGGATGGGTAAGGGTGCATAATAAATTTATTAAACTAAACTGACTTGTACTTGAATGGTATACAATACCAACAAGACGAAGATTTAGACATTTGCATCATCTTGGTACAGGTAGGCCCTGCTTTACAGCATTTCGCTAATGCAGCAGTTTTCAAATAGACCCATTCTACATTTATTCAGACTTTCTACAATAAATATATTCACCACTCACAACAAGCGAAGGACGAAAATATTTTAAGGTAAGTAGAGGGGTTTGGGATATTGGCAGTTTGGAGGGATATGTTGTGTATCTTTATACGTATATGCTTCTAAACTGTTGTATTCTGAGCACCTCTGCAAAAGCAGTGATAATGTGTGAGTGTGGTGAAAGTGTTGAATGATGATGAAAGTATTTTCTTTTTGGGGATTTTCTTTCTTTTTTTTTTTTTTGGGTCACCCTGCCTCGGTGGGAGACGGCTGACTTGTTGAAAAAAAAAAAAAAAAAAAAAAAAAAAAAAGTAGTGTGTGTACTATATATGCATTTTTTAGCCCTAGCTTTATTGGTCACTTAATATATGATAGTGTAAATATGTTATCAGGCTTTTATGTGCATTTGAAAGTGAAAAAAAACTATATTTCACAAAACCTAACCTGCTGTATAAACAGGGCCCTACAGTACCCCAGAACCTAACCTGCTGTATAAACAGGGCCCTACAGTACCCCAGAACCTAACCTGCTGTATAAACAGGGCCCTACAGTACCCCAGAACCTAACCTGCTGTATAAACAGGACCCTACAGTACCCCAGAACCTAACCTGCTGTATAAACAGGGCCCTACAGTACCCCAGAACCTAACCTGCTGTATAAACAGGGCCCTACAGTACCCCAGAACCTAACCTGCTGTATAAACAGGGCCCTACAGTACCCCAGAACCTAACCTGCTGTATAAACAGGGCCCTACAGTACCCCAGAACCTAACCTGCTGTATAAACAGGGCCCTACAGTACCCCAGAACCTAACCTGCTGTATAAACAGGGCCCTACAGTACCCCAGAACCTAACCTGCTGTATAAACAGGGCCCTACAGTACCCCAGAACCTAACCTGCTGTATAAACAGGGCCCTACAGTACCCCAGAACCTAACCTGCTGTATAAAGAGGGCCCTACAGTACCCCAGAACCTAACCTGCTGTATAAACAGGGCCCTACAGTACCCCAGAACCTAACCTGCTGTATAAACAGGGCCCTACAGTACCCCAGAACCTAACCTGCTGTATAAACAGGGCCCTACAGTACCCCAGAACCTAACCTGCTGTATAAACAGGGCCCTACAGTACCCCAGAACCTAACCTGCTGTATAAACAGGGCCCTACAGTACCCCAGAACCTAACCTGCTGTATAAACAGGGCCCTACAGTACCCAGAACCTAACCTGCTGTATAAACAGGGCCCTACAGTACCCCAGAACCTAACCTGCTGTATAAACAGAGCCCTACAGTACCCCAGAACCTAACCTGCTGTATAAACAGGGCCCTACAGTACCCCAGAACCTAACCTGCTGTATAAACAGGGCCCTACAGTACCCCAGAACCTAACCTGCTGTATAAACAGGGCCCTACAGTACCCCAGAACCTAACCTGCTGTATAAACAGGACCCTACAGTACCCCAGAATCTAACCTGCTGTATAAACAGGGCCCTACAGTACCCCAGAACCTAACCTGCTGTATAAACAGGGCCCTACAGTACCCCAGAACCTAACCTGCTGTATAAACAGGACCCTACAGTACCCCAGAACCTAACCTGCTGTATAAACAGGGCCCTACAGTACCCCAGAACCTAACCTGCTGTATAAACAGGGCCCTACAGTAGCCCAGAACCTAACCTGCTGTATAAACAGGGCCCTACAGTAGCCCAGAACCTAACCTGCTGTATAAACAGGGCCCTACAGTACCCCAGAACCTAACCTGCTGTATAAACAGGGCCCTACAGTACCCCAGAACCTAACCTGCTGTATAAACAGGACCCTACAGTACCCCAGAACCTAACCTGCTGTATAAACAGGGCCCTACAGTACCCCAGAACCTAACCTGCTGTATAAACAGGGCCCTACAGTACCCCAGAACCTAACCTGCTGTATAAAGAGGGCCCTACAGTACCCCAGAACCTAACCTGCTATATAAACAGGGCCCTACAGTACCCCAGAACCTAACCTGCTGTATAAACAGGGCCCTACAGTACCCCAGAACCTAACCTGCTATATAAACAGGGCCCTACAGTACCCCAGAACCTAACCTGCTGTATAAACAGGGCCCTACAGTACCCCAGAACCTAACCTGCTATATAAACAGGGCCCTACAGTACCCCAGAACCTAACCTGCTATATAAACAGGGCCCTACAGTAGCCCAGAATCTAACCTGCTGTATAAACAGGGCCCTACAGTACCCCAGAACCTAACCTGCTGTATAAAGAGGGCCCTACAGTACCCCAGAACCTAACCTGCTGTATAAACAGGGCCCTACAGTACCCCAGAACCTAACCTGCTGTATAAAGAGGGCCCTACAGTACCCCAGAACCTAACCTGCTGTATAAACAGGGCCCTACAGTACCCCAGAACCTAATGTGCTGTATAAACAGGGCCCTACAGTACCCCAGAACCTAACCTGCTGTATAAACAGGGCCCTACAGTACCCCAGAACCTAATGTGCTGTATAAACAGGGCCCTACAGTAGCCCAAAACCTAACCTGCTGTATAAGTGGGGCCTGCCTGTATCTTTATTTGTAGAAGTTTTGCTATGCAGTGGCTTTATCAATACAAATTCAAGGACATATGGAAAGACTGTAGAACTATGTACAAAAGACAAGGTAATGAGTCCAAGGCTGAGGGACTGATTACCTCATCTTTTGTATATAGTTTTACAGTCTTCTCTTTATGTCCTTGAATTTATATCATTGGCAATTTGTATCAATGGCAGATGTTGCACATGTGTCTAATTCTTTAAACTGACTTAATCTTCTCTCACATGAATGAGTTATTATAACACTTCCTCATGGATTACAAAGGCAAATTAACACCCAGTTTCTCTTTAGTAATTTTTCACATTTAACCCTTTCAGGGTCGACAGGCCCTCTCAGAGACTTGTTCTCAGGGTCGCCCAAATTTAAAAAAAAAAAAAAAAAAATTCTCATGAAAAGATAGAGAGTCTTTTCCCGATCATAATGACACCAAAAGTATGAAATTTGATGGAAAACTTACGGAATTATGCTCTAGCGAAGTTAGTGGTCTCGACTATGTTTACGCATCAGCGATTTTGCCCACTTTGAGCCCTATTTTCAGCCAATTCCACTGTACTAGTTGACAAAAATCATGAATATTTCACTAGAACTCCATTTTTTCTATTGAATGAGTGCAAGAAACCACCCATTTACCGATTTCAACTATCCAATACAGTGGTCAGAATTTAGCAATTCTGCCAATTTCACACAAATTTCAAAAGATGCCAATTTCCAAATATGGTCCAGAATAAACAAGAAAGACATTCCTGGCACTAAAATGACATTTCCTCTGTTCATTAGTCACATCCCCATGCCCCTCTTACATTCTTTTGCTTTCCACTTTGAATTTTTATTCTCACAAAAAATAGAAGATTTACTGTTATGCAGACTACTCCATTAGTGTAAAAAATGGTATAAATAATATCAGCGCACTTGTGAAAGAATATTAGACTCGCCAGTTGACGTGTATTGGAAGCATAGCATGATTTGTTTACTTTTGAACTTTACTAAAAATCAAACATTTCTGCTACTTTGAGCTCAATTTCAAGGTACTTTTCATTGTAAAATCAGTCAAAATCATCTCAATTTCTGTAATATGTCTTCCATTCTATAAAATGAGACCAGGAAAACTAGAACACAACAATAAATACCATACGAAAATACAGTGCAAAGTCGCTGTTTTAATCCAAAAACACGGTCAAAGTTTTTTTTTCTCTCATTACGCACTGTGTGCTGCAGGATTTTTTTATACTGCGCACAATGACCACGTAGACCCATTCTTTCATATGCAGGCCTACCAGCTTTATCTCACTAGATTTGAGGGCGCTAGAATTTAGGCGTACTAGTACGTCAAAAACCCTGGTGCGTAAGCCGTACTAGTATGGCCGAAACCCTGAAAGGGTTAATTAAGTCACATATTTCAGTGATTTCTTCCCACAAACACTAAACAACATAATAACCTACCGTAAGGTTTTGTAGCTGCTCCTCCTTTTGTTTAAAACTGATTGTAGCTTGAGTAAGTTTCCCTTCAATGTCAGATATTGTAGAGTTAGCTTTCTGTAGCTGCACTTCTAATTCTGATTTATGGCTCTCTATTGAAGTTATCTGCATTAGGAAAAAATAAAGAGTCAATATAGTATGTAAAAAAAAGGAGCCATTATGCTCTGCATTACCTCCAGCAGCCACCAATATTCATGTAGAGTTAAGCACCAAAATTTCAGAGGAGAGAGTGACAGTATAATACAGTACAGTGGAACCTCGGTTTTCGTATGCCCTAGTCTGCATGTAAAACTAGTTTTTTTTTGTCAACAAGTCGGCTGTCTCCCACCTAGGCAGGGTGACCCAAAAAGAAAGAAAATCCCCAAAACAAAAATACTTTCATCACTCAACACTTTCACCTCACTCATACATAATCACTGTTTTTGCAGAGGCACCCAGATACAACAGTTTAGAAGCATTTTTTGTTTTTTTTCAACAAGTTGGCCATCTCCCACCGAGGCAGGGTGACCCAAAAAAGAAAGAAAATCCCCAAAAAGAAAATACTTTCATCATCATTCAACACTTTCACCACACTCACATTATCACTGGTTTTGCAGAGGTGCTTAGAATACAACAGTTTAGAAGCATGTACGTATAAAGATACACAACATATCCCTCCAAACTGCCAATATCCCAAACCCCTCATATATAAAGATATATTACTAGGTAGTAGGTTGGTAGACAGCAACCGCCCAGGGAGGAACTACCGTCCTGCCAAGTGAGTGTAAAACTGAAGCCTGTAATTGTTTTACACGATGGTAGGATTGCTGGTGTCTTTTTTTTTCTGTCTCATACACATGCAAGATTTCAGGTATGTCTTGCTACTTCTACTTACACTTAGGTCACACTACACATACATGTACAAGCATATATATACACACCCCTTTGGGTTATCTTCTATTTTCTTTCTAGTTATGAGGATAACAAAAAGATTAGGTGATGAAAGATTGGATATCAGATTGGAGGGAGAGAGTATGGAGGAGGTGAACGTATTCAGATATTTGGGAGTGGACGTGTCAGCGGATGGGTCTATGAAAGATGAAGTGAATCATAGAATTGATGAGGGAAAAAGAGTGAGTGGTGCACTTAGGAGTCTGTGGAGACAAAGAACTTTGTCCTTGGAGGCAAAGAGGGGAATGTATGAGAGTATAGTTTTACCAACGCTCTTATATGGGTGTGAAGCGTGGGTGATGAATGTTGCAGCGAGGAGAAGGCTGGAGGCAGTGGAGATGTCATGTCTGAGGGCAATGTGTGGTGTGAATATAATGCAGAGAATTCGTAGTTTGGAAGTTAGGAGGAGGTGCGGGATTACCAAAACTGTTGTCCAGAGGGCTGAGGAAGGGTTGTTGAGGTGGTTCGGACATGTAGAGAGAATGGAGCGAAACAGAATGACTTCAAGAGTGTATCAGTCTGTAGTGGAAGGAAGGCGGGGTAGGGGTCGGCCTAGGAAAGGTTGGAGGGAGGGGGTAAAGGAGGTTTTGTGTGCGAGGGGCTTGGACTTCCAGCAGGCATGCGTGAGCGTGTTTGATAGGAGTGAATGGAGACAAATGGTTTTTAATACTTGACGTGCTGTTGGAGTGTGAGCAAAGTAACATTTATGAAGGGATTCAGGGAAACCGGCAGGCCGGACTTGAGTCCTGGAGATGGGAAGTACAGTGCCTGCACTCTGAAGGAGGGGTGTTAATGTTGCAGTTTAAAAACTGTAGTGTAAAGCACCCTTCTGGCAAGACAGTGATGGAGTGAATGATGGTGAAAGTTTTTCTTTTTCGGGCCACCCTGCCTTGGTGGGAATCGGCCAGTGTGATAATAAAAAAAATAAATTCTTGTTCTTGTTTATTTCCTCTTACCTCCATGGGGAAGTGGAACAGAATTCTTCCTCCGTAAGCCATGTGTGTTGTAAGAGGCGACTAAAATGCCGGGGGCAAGGGGCTAGTAACCCCTTCTCCTGTATATATTACTAAATGTAAAAGGAGAAACTTTCGTTTTTCCTTTTGGGCCACCCTGCCTTGGTGGGATACAGCCAGTGTGTTGAAAGAAGAAGATAAAGATATATTACACATCCCTCCAAACTGCCAATATCCCAAACCCCTCCTTTAAAGTGCAGGCATTGTATTTACCATTTCCAGTACTCAAGTCCGGCTATATAAAAATAGCCGGTTTCCCTAAATCCTTTCACTAAATATTACCCTACTCACACTCCAACAGCTCTATAATTTGTATTGTTTGTTAATATTTCCCATAAGAAATAATGTAAATCCAATTAATCCATTCCAGACACCCAAAAATATTAACAAAAAATACATTTTATAGAGAATAACTATAGTTTTCATATATTTTCATATAGTCGGACTTGAGTCCTGGAAATGGGAAGTACAATGTTGCCTGCACTTTAAAGGAGGGGTTTGGGATATTGGCAGTTTGGAGGGATATGTTGTGTATCTTTATACGTATATGCTTCTAAACTGTTGTATTCTGAGCACCTCTGCAAAAACAGTGATTATGTGTGAGTGTGGTGAAGGTGTTGAATGATGATGAAAGCATTTTCTTTTTGAGGATTTTCTTTCTTTTTTGGGTCACCCTGCCTCGGTGGGAGACGGCCGACTTGTTGAAAAAAAAAAAAAAAAAACTATAGTTTTACATATAGACTAGGGCACATGAAAACCAAGGTTCCACTGTATACCGACATGATGGAAACAGACTTCAACAGACTTGGTGACCTGAGAAAACACACTGTGTGGGCAAAACATTGTCAGTAAAGTATCTCATTACACTGCATTTGTGTGCACGGGTTTCCATAAAAAATTCAGAGCTGGAGATGTTTAGAAGTTATGATTCATAAGACTTGGCCAACTGTGAATATCTAAGGCAAAGATTTCAAGGAATAATCTCCAAGACAAAACATAATAAATCAAAGAACACCACATTAACCCTTTGACTGTCGCGGCCGTATATATACGTTTACGAGGTACCGTGTTTGACGTATATATACTCATAAATTCTAGCGGCTTCAAATCAGGCAGGAGAAAGCTGGTAGGCCCACATGTGAGAGAATGGGTCTCTGTGGTCAGTGTGCACCATATAAAAAAAATCCTGGAGCACGCAGTGCATAATGAGAAAAAAAAAACTCCAACCGTTTTTTTTTAATTAAAATGCCGACTTTGTGGTCTATTTTCATATAGTATTTGTGGTTGTATTCTTGTTTTCGTGGTCTCATTTGATAGAATGGAAACTATATTATAGAAATAGAGGTGATTTTGATTAATTTTACTATAAAAAGAACCTGGAAATGGAGCACAAAGTACGGGAAATGTTTGATTTTTGCCGATGTTCAAAAGTAAACAAATGATGTCATTGTCCAATAAATGTCCAACTAGCCATTCTAATATGCAGTCATGAATGGGTTGATGTAATTTTTACAATTATTACAGTATTGCAGTAGTCTGCATAACAGTAAATCTTCTATTTTTTGTTTGAATAAAATTTCAAAATAAAAAGCAAGAGTAATATCACAGGGGCCTGGAGACATGACTGATGAACAAAGAAAATGTTATTTTAGAGCCAGGAATGTCTGCATTGTTCATTCTGGTCCTTATTTTGAAATTGTCATATTTTTTAATTTTCGTGAAATTGGCCAAATTGCAAATTTCTGACCATGTTATTGGATAGTTGAAATCGGTAAATGGGCAGTTTCTTGTACTCAATCGATGGAAAAAATGGAGTTCTGAAGAAATAGCTATGAGTTTGGTTGACTGGAATAATGGAATTAGCCGAAAATAAGGCTCAAAGTGGGCGAAATCGCCGATTTGTAAATATCGCCGAGGTCGCTAACTTCGCGAGAGCGTAATTCCGTCAGTTTTCCATCAAATTTCGTTTTTTTGGTGTCTTTACAATCGGGAAAAGCTTCTCTATCATTTCATAAGAAAAAATAATTTTTTTTTTTTTTTGAAATTTTGCGACACCAGGAGACACCTCAGGATTGGGGGTTGCGACAGTCAAAGGGTTAATGTCTAATTTTTTTTTTTTTAAACACATCAGCCATTTTCCACTGAGGCAGGGTGACCCAAAAAGAAAGAAAAAAACAAAATGACATAACAAATTTTGATTTTCTGCAATATCAGATCCAAACTTTCAGTAACTGACTGTATAGGTACTATACATGATGGTCATTCCATATACATATCTCAATTATTCATAAATCATATTAAAGAAATATTATATGTTTAGGTCTAAGTAATGTGTTTCTCAATCTCGAGTTTTTTCAGTAACCATTTATATCTAATCCTAACTTCATTCTGAAAATGGTGTCTGCACTCTGAAGGATGAGCGGACATGTGATTCAGAAGACCACTTGATTGTGATGTCCAAGTGTTTCTGGCAAGACAGCTACAAAAGAAGATGGTAAATATATTTCTCTCCATAGGGAAGTGGAACAGAATTCTACCTCCATAAGCCATGCGTGGTTTAAGAGGTGACTAAAATGCTTGGAGCAAGGGGTTAATAACCCCCTCTCCTGTGTGCATTACTAAAGTTAAAAACAGAAACTTTTCTTTTTCTTTTTGGGCCACCCTGTTTCAGTGTGATACAGCCCATTTGTTAAAAGAAGAAATATGTTTCTTTCTTTGGGTCACAATATCTTGGAGTTAAATGTCTTGATTTTTTTTTTTAACACATGTGCCATTTCCCACTGATGCAGGGTGACCCAAAAAAGAAAAAACACTTTCATCATCACTCACTCCATCACTGTCTTGCCAGAGACATTCCAATACTACAGTTCAAAAACTGAAGCATATCTCCACCCGTCCTTCCTTAAAAGTGCAGGCACTGTACTTCCCACCTCTAGGACTTTAGTCCGGCTAACTGGTTTCCCTGAATCCCTTCACAAAATATTACCCTGTTCACACTCCAACAGCTTGTCAAGTCCCAAAAACCAATTGTCTCTACTCCTATCTTTTTTTTTTTTTAACACATATGATGTTTCCCACCAAGACAATGTGACCCAAAAAGAAAGAAAAATACTTTCATCATCATTCAACACTTTCACCATCATTTATACATCATTTATACATAATCACTGTTTTTGCAGAGGTGCTCAGATGCAACAGTATCCTATCTGATATATCAGCAAAAATAAAATTATATAAAAATACCTTTTCTACAGCTTGTTGATGATGACTGGTTGCCTCCCTCAGTTCTTCCTTCAGCTTACTTATCTCTCCCATAAGATTTGAGGTTTCAGATGTCCCAGAATTCAACTGCACCCGGATTTCTGCCAATTCAGTAAACTCATAATAATCTAAACTTTCTCTCATGAACTGTATGTTTATTAGTATTAAGTAACTTTAATCTTAGTTGAAGTCTGGCCAAAATGCATTGCATAGCCAAGGGATTTTAAAAAATGACAATCTAAAACGATGATCCATCTATCCATCCTGGACCAAGGATGGATCAAAACATTGTCTAAAGTTTCCTTTCCAATATTTAGGATACAGTAGAACTGCAGTATCTGCAGGTCAGGTTTCTGTTATCTGTGGCTTACACTGGCCTAAAAATAACCCTTAATTTTACTTAATAATGACACCAAAGTGCAAAAATAGTGATGATGACAGTTTTTCAAAGTCTCAGAGAAGTCATGAAGTGCTTCCCATCGGTGAAAAAGTGCTAATTCTAAACTTTATCATAAGTATATATGTAAACATAGGGTTCACTACTATCTGCAGTTTCAGGTATCCGTGGTGGGTCTTGGAACACATCCCCCCCCCCAGCGTATATGGAGGTTCCTACTATACATGTGAACTGCTCCAGTCATGGTACTGTTATCTATCCTACACTCTCACCTCCAAAAATGAAAGTGCATATTTTACTGCATAATAAAATATCACTCCAAATCAGCGAGCATAAATGCAAATATAACACTGATACAGGAATACTTCACTAATATGACAAGTTTAGTTCCAGACAGCAGCCGTAAAGCAAATAACAGCCTTTTTCACTTGCTATTGCATATAAAAGCCTAAAAAAAATTTACACAATAGCACTAGGTCTAAACAAACAACGCAAAAGTAAAATAATTTTTTTTTTTTATTAACACACTGGCCGATTCCCACGAAGGCAGGGTGGCCCGAAAAAGAAAAACTTTCACCATCATTCACTCCATCACTGTCTTGCCAGAAGGGTGCTTTACACTACAGTTTTTAAACTGCAACATTAACACCCCTCCTTCAGAGTGCAGGCACTGTACTTCCCATCTCCAGGACTCAAGTCCGGCCTGCCGGTTTCCCTGAACCCCTTCATAAATGTTCTTTGCTCACACTCCAACAGCACTTCAAGTATTAAAAACCATTTGTCTCCATTCACTCCTATCAAACATGCTCACGCATGCCCGCTTGAAGTCCAAGCCCCTCGCACACAAAACCTCCTTTACCCCCTCCCTCCAACCTTTCCTAGGCCGACCCCTACCCCACCTTCCTTCTGCTACAGACTGATACACTCTTGAAGTCATTCTGTTTCACTCCATTCTCTCTACATGTCCAAACCACCTCAAAAACCCTTCCTCAGCCCTTTGGACAACAGTTTTGGCAATCCCGCACCTCCTCCTAACTTCCTAATAATAATTTAAAATTGCAAAAAACCATCTTAAGAGCAAGGCAAGTGCTGAAAATAATAATGAATAATGAAGATAATTGTAAAGTGCCACATTAACACGGTGCTCTAAATTGAACATATTAACACCATATTAACGAGGTATGCCTTTACAGGTGAAATCTGCCATGACTAATACAGACCTTGAATTTCTTTGCAAACAGCTTCTTTCTCAGATTTTTCCCATTCAACATTTTTCAACAACTCCTCTATTTGTTGTGTTGCAGCATTCACATCCTTCCCTTTCTTATCCAGCTCCAGTTGCATCTCCAATATTCGTTTCTCTCTCTCCATTATTTCTGAAGTTTTTTCTCTAGATCGAAGTTGTTCTTCTTCCATGCTAGATTCTAGTAGTTTAAGCTTTTGCTCACGTTCATTGATGTCGTTTTTCAGTGCTTCATTATTGGTCTCCAGAGATTTAAGCTCTTCTGACTGCTTCGATAAAACATCTTCCAATGTTTCCTTGTCACTTTCCATGTCTATTATCTGAAAAAGTAAATAAGTGTATCACTTCAAGATAGAACATCAAAGTGTCATGAACACTTACCACTAGAGAGTCAACCCATAGGAGATAGACTGGAAGAAGTTGCTTTGTATATTTTCAGCACAATGAATCTACTGTAAAGTCACACTTACACAAAAGATTGAGAAAGCCAGTATATATATGCGAGGGGAATAGGGATGGGACCAAGAGGAAGAAAAAGAAGTAGTGGCAGTGATAAGGCTGGTAGTGGTAGTAGAAAGCAGGGAGAGTAGTTTTATACTGGCTCCCTCACTCTTTTGTTAGTGTGACTTTGTAAATGGTCCAAGTTGGACTGAAATGTCACCATAAACTTCTCTCTCCTATGTGTGGGTTATTTGTGTATTGTTCCAATCATGGTATTGTGCTTCTTTGTTCTTTCTGCTTTAAAGGATCTCAGCTCAAGATTGAAATTTACCGAACTTGTTTTCTGTTTTTGCCTTCATGTGGGTTGATTTCTAGTATTGCTGTACTTCATATTTAGCTAAGATGCCAACTAGTCCATCTCCTTAAGAAACATAGTGTTCCCTCTTTCTAACTAATGATCACTTTCTAACAATCACTTGCAGCTCAGGTATACTATCCCAAGTTCCACTCTATTATATGCCTTTTCTAGATCCACAAATGTGGCAAACAGTTCCTTATTCTTATTAATGTATTGTTCACTACGGTGTTTCAATGTAAATACAGTGGTACCTCAGGATGCGAACTTATTTCATTCCAGAAGGTTGTTCGAGTGCTGATACCGAACGAATTTGTTCCCATACGGAATAATGTAAATTAGATTAATCCGTTTCCAACCCCCAAAAATACATTTACAAAAGCACTTACATAAATACACTTACATAACTGTTCATGTTTTGAGCTGTTCATATCCCAAGGTACCACTGTACTTGGTCAACACATTCCCATTCCTAAATCCTCCTCCTTCCTCTGCAATCCTACTTTTCATCTTATGCCTAACTCTTTTGATTATATTTCAATCATCACTTTATCTAGTATACTCAACAGGCTTATTCCTCTATAGTTCTTACACTCTTCCTTGTTCCCTTTTTCCTAGCTCTTTGTCAATCATTAAGTACTTTCCCTTCGTGTGTATACCAAACAAATACACCAACCACTCCAAAACTATATCTCCACTGTTTATAAAGTGTCTTAATCTCATTTATCTCAGCTGCTTTGCCACCTTTCATTATAACCACTGCCTTATGCACTATCCCCACATTCATCACTGGCTCTTCCTTACTCCTACTACATGTAATTCCTCCCTGCCAGACATGACATCACCACCTCCCTTTCATTATCTTTAACATGTCAAAATATTCTCACCATCTTTCTGGTACCTACCACTTCCCAACAAGCTCATTTACTCCCCAGGCTTTATCAATTTATTTCTCTCTCTCCAAAACTCTTTCTTATTCTCAGCAAAATTTTCCGAGACCCATTCTCTCAGTAGCTCTCCTTTTACACTTCCTCATCACTCGTTTTACCTAACTTTTTTCTTCATATGCTCTGCTTTCCTTATATCATTCTTGCATTATAAAAACTTCTTATATACTAATGTTTTCTCTCTTATCATCCTCTTTGCATAATCATTCTACTAATTATTCTTCTTCCCACCAGCATCCACCCTCCTGTAGCCATAAACTCCTAAGTAACTGAAGCTAAAACCATGAGTAGCTTACAAAAATAGGCTAGACAAGTACAGTGGAACCTCGGTACTTGAGCTTAATTTATTCCAGAAGACTCTTCGAGTGCCGATCTGTTCGAGTATTGAACGAATTCTTCCCAACCAATTTTTTTGGTTGGCTGTTATCACTAATCTTCATAGGCCCCATGGTGACTTAGTTATACAAATAACATAAAAAACACCAAAAAATGCAAAGAAACACGAAATAATTTACAGCAAAGTTCTGGCAGGTCGTGTTTGTTTGGGCGAGTGCTCAGCTTTGTTTCGTGGGTGGGTGTGAGATGGAGCATTGATGCTGGCCAGTAGGTCAGCAGCAATGCTCCTTTCTTTTTAAGTGGGTGTGACTTCAGCTTTCCTAGCATGGGCCAGTAGGCCTGCTGCAGTGCTGCTTCTTTCTTGTGTTCTAAACCTCTGCTGTTCACTCCAGCATGGCATTCTTAAATCTACCCCATACCCTCAACCACCTCCTCATTACCTGTACTTGCCTCTCTACCCCACCTGTTTACTAACAATGGTAATATCACATATTCATTTCTCACTTCAACTACAACCAAGCACTTGTTCTCTAGTCATCTGTACACACATTATCTCTTCTATTCTCTTGTATTCATTGTAACTCATAAATTTATATTTATACTCACAGAAGAGATTATGTATAAAACCACTCAAATTGTCATTGCCTTATTAATCTTAAGTTAAGTTTTAAGTTTGCCCAAAATGCTTTGCATATTAAGGGCTTTCTGCATGCACACCTAAATGTCATTCACCTTTGTACATTGTATCATGCTGAAATAAAGTATCTTATCATATCTCATCTTAAATATTCACTCACTCTTGCTTGAAGCTCTTCTACACTTGCTCGCAGATTTATTTCCAATTCCTCCATTTCGAAAGCTCTGTTTGCCTGCATTGTTCCTCGTTCTTTCAGCTTCCTTCGGGCGTCTTCAAGTTCCTTCTCCATTTCTTTAATTTTCTCTCCATCTGTTGTGCTCTGAGTCTGTAGGTAAGAAAGGAATTTAGTGGTGTGCTGTGCTGCACGAGTATGTGGCATCAATACAATCATTAACTGACCTTGATTTAATAAGAGCTCGGACAAGATTCTCTGGATCAGATGATTCATAAGCAACAGACAGTATGTTGGTTACAGAACCATCTGTTGTTGCTACAATCATGGCAAAACCATCTCATCTCTATCCGCCACAATCATTATTATCAACCACTCGTACCCCCCTATTAATCCCTTAAGCCGAGGGTATACTGTACCAGGAAAGAAAGTCATTCATAATGCAGAAACCTGTACTCAGAAAATTGTCAAAACTTGTCAACTATTCACACAGTTAATGCACTGTTTCACACATTGGTTATTGCACTGGTCAATTAACTGCTTAATGCACTGGTTAATGAACTGGTTAAAGTACTGGTTAATGCACTAGCCCTGTGAGTTTTAAAATTCACTTACCAAAGGGATCAATCCCCACCAACTCCATGATTTATTCACACAGTAGATTTTAAACAACTCTTACCTCTAAATCAGCCTTGGTGATGGATTCTTCCTCTAATCTGAAGGCTAAATCATCTAGTTCTCTCTGCTTATCTTCAAATTTAGCAAGGAATTCCTCTCTCTCCGTCTCTAAACTACGAATTCGTTCCCCAAAGTCGTGCAACTTTTCCTCAGACTCTACTTGCAACTGAAAGTACATAAATGTATGTCAAAAATCATGCAATTTCATAAATAGATTTTTTATCAGGAATTTTCCCAAAAAGATTGCTGGTAATTTTAACCCTTTGACTGTTTACGTCGTATATATACATCTTACGCGCCACTGTTTCCGACGTATTTATACGAGTAAATTCTAGCGTGGAGGAAGTGAATGTATTCAGATATTTGGGAGTGGACGTGTCAGCGGATGGGTCTATGAAGGATGAGGTGAATCATAGAATTGATGAGGGGAAAAGGGTGAGTGGTGCACTTAGGAGTCTGTGGAGACAAAGAACTTTGTCCTTGGAGGCAAAGAGGGGAATGTATGAGAGTATAGTCTTACCAACACTCTTATATGGGTGTGAAGCATGGGTGATGAATGTTGCAGCGAGGAGAAGGCTGGAGGCAGTGGAGATGTCATGTCTGAGGGCAATGTGTGGTGTGAATATAATGCAGAGAATTCATAGTTTGGAAGTTAGGAGGAGGTGCGGGATTACCAAAACTGTTGTCCAGAGGGCTGAGGAAGGGTTGTTGAGGTGGTTCGGACATGTAGAGAGAATGGAGCGAAACAGAATGACTTCAAGAGTGTATCAGTCTGTAGTGGAAGGAAGGCGGGGTAGGGGTCGGCCTAGGAATGGTTGGAGGGAGGGGGTAAAGGAGGTTTTGTGTGCGAGGGGCTTGGACTTCCAGCAGGCGTGCGTGAGCATGTTTGATAGGAGTGAATGGAGACGAATGGTTTTTAATACTTGACGTGCTGTTGGAGTGTGAGCAAAGTAACATTTATGAAGGGGTTCAAGGAAACCTGCAGGCCGGACTTGAGTCCTGGAGATGGGAAGTACAGTGCCTGCACTCTGAAGGAGGGGTGTTAATGTTGCAGTTTAAAAACTATAGTGTAAAGCACCCTTCTGGCAAGACAGTGATGGAGTGAATGATGGTGAAAGTTTTTCTTTTTCGGGACACCCTGCCTTGGTGGGAATCGGCCAGTGTGATAATAAAAAAAAAAATAATAAAAAAAATTCTAGCAGCTTCAAATCGAGCAGGAGAAAGCTGGTAGGCCTACATGAGAGAGAATGGGTCTGAGTGGTGGGTATGCACCCTGTGAAAAAAAATCTGGGACTCAGTGGTGCATTGTGGTAACGCCATCTTTGTAGTCCATTTTCTCCAAGCCTCGCAGTAAGAAGTTCCTCACTCCTCGGCGGATTGGAGGTCTTTTATTCCCAAGTGATAGCTCTAACAGCGATGAAAGTGTCAGTGAAAGTGAATTCCATGGTTTTCAAGTGGGTGTGACCGAAAAAAGTGCCCAGGATAACGTAATTAGTGATGAAAACCCAGATGACCCACAACCTTCCACCTCTGGTGCTGGGCCGGCTCGTTCACGTTCACCTGTACCAGGACGAAAGAGGAAACTATTTGCCCATGTACAAGACTCAGATGTGAGCAGTGAAAGTGATAGTGATAGTGATTTCAAAGTTATTGAAAGCAGTTCTAGTTGTGACAGTGAGGGTGAATATTCCCCAGTGAAGCAGCAGTATATATGACGTAGCATGCGATCTGGCAGTGTTTCATATGCTGATCCAAGGGGAAGGAGTAAATCTCAGAGCACATCCCATGGCCCTACACCAAGACCTGATAGTGAAGATGACGATATTGTTATGATAAGTATGAATGATGTGAGTGAGGCAGCACGTGGTGGTGGTGATAGTGATGGTGGTATGAGTCATGTGGCACCGGCAGCGGGCCACGCTACTACCCACGCTGCTGACTCTGCACAACCAGCCTCACCCAACCATACACTCCCACAACAACCACAACCACAACCTGCACAACCACGTTTCAATATCCACAACCCACCAGCAGACCGCATCTGGGATTGGCAAGTGGAATACGGCCATCGTGTACACTTGGGAACAATGCTACTGAACTGGAATGCTTTCAGTTATTCTTCAATAAACCCCTGATGGACATTATTGTCAGGGAAACCAACACATACTATGAGTACACCATGGAAAATACAATTCTCTCACTAAGATCACGGCTATACCAGTGGAAGGACACAAATGTGGCAGAGATGTACCTGTTTTTTGCCTCAATAATGCTAATGCCACATGTGTATAAGCACACTGTCACACATAGTGGGCAACAGAATGCCTGATTTCAACCCCAGGTTTTAGTGACATTATAGGTGTGAATCGTTTTCTGATACTGTTACGTATGTTACACTTTTCAGACAAAACCAGGCCTGACAAAAGCGACAGGTTATATAAGATCAGAAATGTGTTTATGTACCTGAAACAAAAGTGTTGCATGTATTTTTATCCCTTCAGGAAGCTTGTTATTGACGAGTCTTTGATTTTATTCAAAGGAAGATTCTCATTCAAGCAATACATACCAAGCAAGAGGAAATGCTTTGGTATAAAGTTATTTGTACTGTGTGATTGCAAAAGTGGTCTCATTTTGGATATCATTGTGTACACTGGCAGTAATACATTGAGAGATACCACGAAGTTATTGGGTATCTCTGGTGATGTGGTTTGAACAATGATGGAACCATATCTTGGTAAGGGGCATATATTATTTACTGATAACTGTTACACAAGCCCCATACTCAGTGATTTCTTGAGAGTGAACCTGACAGACGTGTGTGGCACAGTGCGTGGTAATCATAAGCATATGCCAAGGTTCAACGCTGGCACTCCCAGAGGTGAGGTGCAAGCCTTTGCTGCCAATGACATTTTGGTGGCATGACAAACGTGATATCACATTGTTGACATCAGTTCACCGAAACGAAATGGCACATACTGGCAGGCACATTAGAGAGACCAATGAACCCATTCTAAAACCTGCAGCTGTCATGGACTACAACCTCAATATGCGCTTAGTGGACAAATGTGACGTGCAGATTGGGTTTGCTGATTGTGTACGCAAGAGTTATAAGTGGTAAATAAAACTTTTTTTCCATCTTGTTGATATTTCCATGCTAAATGCTTATAACATATACAAGTTGAGGACCAACAACAAACCAAAATATGGTGAATTTTGTTTGTCAGTCATCAGACAAATAATCGCCAAGTACCAAGGAGGTCGCTAAATTTGCGAGAGCGTAATTCCGTCAGTTTTCCATCAAATTTCGTGTTTTTGGTGTCATTACAATCGGGAAAATATTCTCTATCATTTCATAAGAAAAATAATTTTTTTTTTTTTTTTGAAATTTTGCGACACCAGGAGACACTTCAGGATTGGGGGTTGCGACAGTCAAGGGGTTAAATCTGTTAAGGCCATTCAGTACTAAAATAATAGGCAGACGACTAAAGTAGATGAGGTAGCATAATCTGTACTATAATTATGGGCAATTAGAATAATGGATAAGAAAAATTATTTAAAGGAAATCAGACAATTTACACAACACATAACTGTAACTATAAAGAGGTACCTGCAGAGAGAAAATCATCATCCTGAAGGAGATAATGTATGAATAACACATAATAATGTAAGATTAATGAATGATTATATAAAATTTTAAAATACTGAGCAGCTTCACAAGATACTGTAGTCTCAAAAATAAATAACAAAAAGGCACAATACCGTGACTGGAACGATACACAAATAACCCGCACATAAAAGACAGAAGCTTACGACGACGTTTCGGTCCGACTTGGACCATTGACAAAGTCAATGGTCCAAGTCGGACCGAAACGTCGTCGTAAGCTTCTGTCTTTTATGTGCGGGTTATTTGTGTATACTGTAGTCTCATTCGCCCCAAACAATGAACAGAGTACCAGCGAGCCAGTGAGGATTTATTTTAATACACCACCCATCTCTCACCAAGGCAGAGTAACCCAAAGCAATAAAACACCTTCACCATTACACAATCACTAACTCTCTTTCCAGAAATCCACCAAGCTTCAACATCCTACTCTCACCTGGAGTTCATTACCTTTGTAAATTGTGAGTTCATTACCTTTGTAAATTGTGAGTTCATTACCTCTGTAACTTGCTCAGCTATCAAAACTTTGGGGTCCAGTCCCTGGACCAATTATGTACCTCTGTAATCTTTTGACTACCGCCCACAGGATGGGTATGGGGTGCATAATAAACATATTAAACTAACTCCTGTCTTATAACTGTTATGGATAGTGTATATTCTCCTGATCAGGCTGTGGATTTAAGTCATGCACTGCCCTAGTTACTTCATCAGCCTGTTCATCTCAAAATTGTTAAGGTTAGTGGATATTCACCTGATCTAGCTGTAGTCTTAGGTCATGTGCTGCCCTGGTTGCTTCGTCAGCTTGTTCAGCCATACGAGCAACCTCTGCTCTCTCGACGTCTCGTTCCCGCATGAGCTGATCCACATGTTGTGTCTTTTCTGCTAATGCCTCCTGTAAATTAATTAGTTAATTAACATTCATCCACTAAACAACATACTAAATGTAGGAACTACTCTACTCCTTATACAGTATAATTTAATAAACAAAATTATTTCAAGATGCAGAATGATAATTAAGCATTTGATTTACACAAGTCAGTAACAGTATCAAACACTTACCAAAACTTATAAAATCCAAATATGTACAGTACTTGAGTCTACCTCATTAATGTTTTCCAGTACGTTGTGGTCCACATTACATTCATGTTATTCAACACAATATAAACTAACATTGTTGGATATTACCTTATTTGCTTAAAATTAATATTTGTATCTGCATACCTCTGGCAAGACAGTGATAGTGTGAATGATGGTGATAGCGTTTCTTTTTTTGGGTCACCATGCCTTGGTGGGAGATGGCTATTGGGTTAAAAAAAATTATTACACCAATACATTTGAATGCGTATTTGTCAAACTTCTTTTTAATTAACTAGTTGTCTCTTGCAAGGCAGTGTGACCCAGAGAAAAAAATCCATTCACCATCACTCAGTGAACTACTGTTTTTCCATAAGTGTGCTGACATCATAATCACACTACTCATCTACTGCAACATCCTCACAAATACAAAATTAAATGTGTAAAATTGATAAATTTGGAATTGTGATATACTGTACTGTATGCACAGTGCCGATTATTATAAGCAAAGAAAGGGCTAAACCAACAAGGGATCATAGTGCTGGTTAATGTGCTTCTTTCTTGTTTCCTCCATGGTGTGTGTGTGTTCTTTTTTTCTAGGGCTAATTTCCTAAATTCTCCAAGGGGAAGTAGAACAGAATTCTTCCTCCGTAAGCCATGAAAGGGGCTAGTAACCCCTTCTCCTGTATACATTAAAATTAAAGAGAGAAACTTTTGTTTTTCTTTTCAGGCCACCCTGCCTCAGTGGGATATGGTCGGTTTGTTGGAAGAAAGAAGAATTTCCTAAACGTATGATGTAAGACCTTCCTAAATTAAGTTTGTTGGTAGTCATCCAAGTGATGATTTAAATTCATGTTTACTGTCAGTTAAGGCAGTGAGATCAACACTGAAGGAAACAAGAGAAGCATTATTGATCCGAGTTTCACGTATGTCCTCTCTTTGACTTTCAGGACTTGGGATGCTGGACGTAAGTCAGGTCCACTGCACTGTCATGAACTGGTGGCAACGAGGAAGGCCTATTCCCTTGTATTTTTTCCATAATACTTACAGGTTTATCACTGCCCTGTCTTTCAGTGTTCATTCCCATTACACTGAACAACCAGTGATTTATTTCTCCGGATAGGTGCACGCTGTGCCAGTCCTTGGGATCTAGAGAGTAAGATACGTGCAGCAACTATAATGCTGTGTGTTTGACAAATGCCATAAAGAACAATTGGCAAGATAGAATTCTCTCCAGGGTTTCCGTTAATGATCAAACCATGATCAGAATTTGATCAATCGCTAAGGAACACGTATCAACTGCCGAGGCTAAGTACGGTACCGTATACCCTAACATTGTAATGCTGTATCAAAGAGAAAGCCCTTACGTTCAACTACAGGTATAACAAAGATCCCAGACTTACAAACACCTGAGCTATGATGACCCACACTTACTAAACAGGTCCAAAGGATATAATATTAAGAAAAAAATTATGAATGACACAACTATCACTGTACTATTATCCATTATAGGATAATAGACTGAATGTGACAACTCCAAAGTTGAAAAATCAGGAACACAACTCATGTGTAAGTTGGACCTCCTGTATATATTTCCTTCTAGAAAAATAAATTTACCTACAAAGGACAGATATATACACCAAGATTTTATGATCAATACATTTGGCATGCTTTGTACACAACTTACAGAGTGACTACAAGTGATTACATTATTAAAGATATATGGCATATTAAAGTTACTTCATTATAGAACTATACTTATTCAAAACGAACTACTGTGTCCAGTAAGCTCTCTCACAAAGCCCCTTTATACAGCACTTTTATAAATGCGACTGAAAAGTACTCTGCAGTACACCCAAAATTTAAAAGCACATGGAAAAGCCTTCTCCATGGGAAAGTAGAAGAGAATTGTGCCTCAATAAGCCCTGCTTGTCTTGAGAGGTGACTAAAATGCCAGGAGCAAGGAGCTAGTAACCCCTTTTCCTGCATAAATTTCTAAATTAGACAAAAAAAAATTTTTGGCTTTTCTTTTTAGTTCACTCTGTCTCAGTGAGAGGCAACCAGTGTGTTAAAAGGATGGAAAGACCTTCATGGTACATACTACAGGTCTGTCATCACTAATCCGGCAATCAGTTATCCGGTTCCATCAGTAATCCGGCACTAATTTCAGCTAGCATAATTTCAAATTTCATTATTATGCTGACTCAAATCATCATACTGATTCAAATTTCATCATTATATTGACTCAAATTTCATCATTATACTGACTCATAAATTGTGCAGATGGTTGTAAATTTACAGCAGCAAGCCAGTAGAGGAGAAAGCAGTGATGAAAATGAGGAAAATGAAGCAGAAAGAGTCTCTACTGATAAGTTCATTAAGTGTATTCTAACCTAACCACTCTGTAATCGGGCAAACTCACTAATCCGGCACGCTACAGGTCCCAATGATGCCGGATTAGTGATGGCCGACCTGTATTTAACTTTTTTTATGCAGTTTTCTAATTGATTTACAAAAAACTGCACTATAAAGAAGAGCTTAATAACAAAACTGACAATATTAAAGAGGACGACAGACTTTCTATAACAAAGTATAACATGCATCAAATACATTTAACATTTTAAAGTGCTCCCTTCTAATGAAAGCTCTCAGCTGTCTGCAGCAGAGAGCTGCTATCAGTGTTTGGTCCCTATTAATGATACGAGTACATTAAGAGTGTTTTAATATTGAAAATATTTTATGGTCCAGGTTTGCAAAATGCAAATGTGTATTACTATGTAAGTTCAAAAACAAGTGATATCTTAAAGTGATATTTAAACACTGAAAGTAACTTAAATTATAAGTATTTCTGTGATCTATTACACTCTCAAGGAATATTACATCTCAAGGAACATTCTCAAGGAATGTTCTCAAGGAATATTACATCTCTAAGGAATATTCTTCAGGAATATTCCTTCTAAAGGTACATTTTTAAGGAATATTATATATCATGGAACATTCTCAATGAATATTACATCTCATGGACCATTCTTAAGAAATATTCCTTCTTAAGAAATATTCTTTCTTAAGAAATAATCCTTATGACTGTGACAGATCACAAAAGCACTTGGAATTTAATTCCCTTTGAAAGTACAGTAGTTAAATTGCAATATTTATTTTTTTAGAGTTTTTAAACATTTTAACACTGACATGTATGCTCCCCAAAAACAAGCATTAAGCAACAAAACAAGAAAAATTAAAGCAATAGTAAACTCTCAATCTAACGGACCTTGATATTATTAACTCCATAATAAATACATGACAAAATCTGCTGGATCGATTCAGAAACAGATGAATTTCACTGGTTATAGAACTGTTCATTACTGCTATTACAGCAAAACAATCTCGTCTCTACCCACCACAATCACCATTACTGGCCATTTGCTTGTCTATATTAGTCTACTAAACTGAAAGTTTACTATAATAAAGAACAAAAAGGCACAATACCATGACTGGAGCAATACACAAATAACCCGAGTATAGGAGAGAGAAGCTTACGATGATGTTTCAGTCCAACTTGGACCATTTTGGTCCAAGTCAAACTGAAACATCATAAGCTTCTCTCTATGTGCACGTTATTTGTGTGTTTTACAACAATAGTTACAATACTGTATATGAGGAATTGCAAGGCAAAAAAGAATAAGCATTACTGTGGCCAAAATCCAGGTTCAAGAGAGAATCTATTCCTTAATTTTTCGTCTGTGGGAATGTGTAGATATATTCTTCTGCAGCTGTAAGGCTCAGAGCCCCTTAAAGTATGGTAACTTGAGCTTCATAGCTCATGCTAATAACTATGTTTTCTTCCATTGTTTGAATTTAGTGATTATTCTCTTCAGTTGTGCAACATCTCATGTGCAACCTAAGATTCCAGGATCTAAGTCTTGTTAAAAAGAGAGCTGTGTATTATATTTACAGAAATTATCAGTATTGTTATTATTACTGTTATTATTATTATTAAAATCATTGAGAATGGGAAGCAATCAAGTATGATTCCAGGAGAGGGTAGCTCCATCTCCTTGGACTCAGAGCTTATAATAATTTCTGTAATACAGTAACACATTGGTATAGAGTAAATTCAGTACTGGTTACACTGAAAATCTCTCATACATATATATATATAGACAGCAGAACCCCTGTATCTGAGGATTCATTTTCCACAGTGTCAGATATCCATGGTTGACTTTTGCTAAATAATGGCACCAAAGAGCATAAGTAGTGACGGTGACAGTTGTCAAGGCCTAAGAGAAGCCGTGAAGTGCTTCCCGTCAGTGAAAAGATAATTCTTCATTTATTGTGCATAATTTATCAATTAAACTTCATAAGTATGTACATAAATGAAAAGATTATATGCAGAGTTCACTACTATGCACGGTAGGTCTTGGAATGTATTCCCTGTGGATACGGGGGGGGACTACTGTATATCTTAAAATACAATAACACCACATACTTGTGTACTTGAGGTCAACAGTAAAAATTTGGCAATAACAGAAAATTTTATTATTCCTCATGAAACAAAACTACTGATAAAGTTATTTATTGTTAATGTAAAATACTGTTTTTTTTTTTTTTTTGGTTCCATGTTTTTTTTATTTTATGCACAAGGCACTACGAGTAATTTCTACCATAATTGTTAGGTTGTCAAATTCAAACACTGGCGAAGAAATGACACTTTTTGCATAACATGCTTTTGTTACAATAAGACACAAAATACCATAAACTGCATACTGTATTTTATTAACATACTTGTCAATATATTCTCCCAGTGATATACATAAAGAA